GCGGGTAGGTCGAAGTGCGGGGCGGCAGGAGGACCACGAAGCAGAAGGGAGAGCGGCAGGGGCCATACGACGGAGGATGGCCAGAGGGAGAAACGAGAGAGGAGGGAGGACAAGGAGAGAGCATTCAGAGATACATTTAAGAGATAACAGTCGGCCCTCACAAAATTGCCAGTCCAAAGTGCCGACTTAGTCGAAAGTTTTTACTGGGTACTACTACAATCCGGTACTTTGATCACGGAATCCATGAATGCCGAGGGTTACCTAGACTAATCTTAAGTCCTAGGACTAGCAAGTGTCGAATTATAGAGCAGCACTAATTTGATATAGGGTTCATGCATCATTGGCATTAGAGCCAATTGTACCATTGAGTTTCTAACACAGATTCATGTACACTGTATGATCTGTATCAGGAACTTCAAGCAGTTCCAGGATCAGTTGGGACCCCCTGCAAATTTGCTTTTCGCAATGATACCTATTAACATCAAATCAGACCAGGGTACTAACTAACGGTTTCGTACCATAACTGCATCGAAAGGATATAGTCAGATAGACCAATAATGGAACCGATTCTAACCATACTAAATACATCAATAATAACAAGTGCGACAGGAAGCGAACAAGCAGTGTCACAATCGACGTCGCTATCCTGTTACGGCCGCGTATTGCTTCCTGATCAGCTCGCCACTGAAAATCGAGTAATCAACGTATGCCGGCAACTCCGGAAAATCCGCCCACTCCGGCATTGATAGCTTGATATAATACCGGCTAGTACAGTAATAAAGATATCTGTACTAACTTTAATGAATTGCGCTATATTATCGTTATCATGGATATGCGATCGAGCGCAGCTAGATGTAGGTGGTGGTGGCGGGAGAGGGTGGAGGGAGCTCTAATATAAAGCGAGTTCAGTCCTTTGTTACGTCAACAAATCCATTGTTTAAACCCTCCTCTTGAGGGTCAAATAGCGTTATCAGACACTTACTCTATCGCACGTCAGTGGAAAGTAGATTTCATGGTATTTCAATAAGTAGTGATAAAAACGTAGGAGTCAGCTGGAAACAAAAAAGTTTTGGCACTCGTTCGTTTAGACCATGTCCCCAGAATAGTCTGATATCTGACCTTCCCCCACTTGCCCTTTGACCTCCATTATCGCCATGGTATGGGTTTCCTCCCATCACACTATAACACCGAATGATTAAGAGTACGGGTCGAGCACGTGAGAATTTTGTCCGCGTCGTATTCCTCCTATACTTTAGTTAATGGGGGAATAATTCCCCCATCATTGACACATCTCGACTTGACCTTGACCCCCAATCACTCGTCCGAAGTGCTTTACTGCAATGCCCCCCCCCCTGACGGTCCGAATATCAAGAGAACATATCAACTCCCGTACGTCGAGCCGGTTAGATTTGTGCCCACTGTTGACGCGACGGCTACGGTACGCGGACGAACAATCATTGCGAATCTAACAAGCTGCATCTGACTTAGTATAGCTGCGCTAAACAAAAATGGTAGATGAAATCGCTTGCACTACAAAATACGATTTACGGCAGATGGCTGGCGCCGCGGGGGTACGCAGTGACACAGATCGTCTCGTTGAGACCAAGCGCTTATTTAGGCGATTAGGGTTGGGTTAGGGTTAGGTTTAGCGTTAGAGGTTTAGGAGTTCTAGCGTCATCTAAACTCTGCAAATCGGAATATCTTCGCAAGGCTTCATTCTCGAAATTAATGGCGCCACCGGCCGCCAATCCATTTGTGCTCGTTACCCAGTATGAAAGCGAATTGGGACTACACTTGCCGTACTGACCGTAGCCGTCGAGACATAAGATCCGGCTCCGTACCCGTAGCAACTGCCCCGAAATTACCCCTTGAGCACTACTCAGATTCATAGCCTCTGCTCCTACCTACCAAACTCCGAGTCGCACAGTCAAAGCAAGGCAACAACCTTGACTTTTCTGGTACTTATTAAAAATTCAAGAGTATGTATTTAAAAAAATATTTGCCATCTTCACAAATAAACTTTAGGGACAAACATAAAAGTCCCCGAGCTCTGATTACATAACGAGAATAATAATATCATAAGTTTGTTTTCATCCCTTGCACTTGCAGTCCTGCTGTGTGGTGCACCTATGAGACGCGTACACATAGATGGCGCGGGTTAGCGGTTTCAGCCATTAATTTTTATGTAATTTTGGAAATCAGAGCACGTCTGTATATTCTTAGTAACATGATTTTGCTGGTTTTATAACACGAAATGCATGACTATCAAATCGAATAATACCAACATGAATAAATGAAACAGATTTAAGTAAAGTTCTCAATCAGCGGATGCTAAATCAGGCCTATCAGCTATCTATGGGCATTTTATCAAGAGTGAATAAAATCATTGTTTGATTATTACTGTTATTATTATTATTATTATTATTATTATTATTATTATTATTATTATATATTTATAATATTTATAATATATATTTTCAATATATAAGATTATAATATCTATATATAATCATATAAATAATATATATAATTAATCATTAATAATATTAATATATATATTAATTATTATAATATAATTATATTTTTTTATAATTTTTAATATATACTATTCAGGAGCGTATAACTGACATATATACTTTGTACATTAACTAACGCTCCTGACTTATATATTTGATTATATTTATCATTATGATATCTTTATATTATTATATATATTATTAATTCATTATTATTTATTATTATTATTATCCTTCTTGTTGGCCATGTAATTCACATTACAGAATCACAATGCTACTGACACAGATCTTTTTATGAGAAAAACCCTCTGATAAACTGCCAATACTACTAATGAGTACGTTGAGCCACATACAGTCCTCAAAGATAAATAAAATTATGCCCGATAACGGAACCCGTACCAGTAACCAAAAGCACTATTATTAACGACATCAAGGAAAATATATATCAAAATGTTCAGTACATTCTTGTGCAAAGTTAAACTGTGATTAATTAATTAGGTACACTTTAACATCATTTTGATAGCCTCTCAAGTGTATAGCCAGTATGTCGAACACCAACAAAATCTGATAAATGCAATATATAGTGTTGAGCAGTTAAAATAATAAAATTATGCTAGGCTACAGTACAAAAGAGCACTATACAACATGAAGGAAAAATATATACAAAAATCGTCAGTACATTCTGTGCAAGTAAAGTGATTAATTAGGTACACTTTAACATCATTTTGATAGCCTCTCAAGTGTATAGCCAGTATGTCGAACACCAACATAGGCTTATCCGTATTTGTTAAATCCATCCATATTTGTCGATATAATGACGATAAATAGGCCGTAATAAGGGGGATAATTTTGTCAGTGGGGTGATGGCAGAAAAGTAGAACAGCCGAATTTCCGAGAATGTAGCCATCTATAGTGGCAATATCTCACCAGATGATATATATTTTATGATAAATATGCATTTAATATGGTTGGGGGTATCACAACATCAATTTATGTAATAAATTGTTATTAGTAAAC